AATACCTACCACCGCCTGGAATCCTACATGAGAGAGAAAATCAACAGGGAGGTAGAAACAAACGTAGAAGGGTGGAACAATACTCGTCTCCGTGTCTTTAATAAAATCATGACTTTTGTCATGAAATGGCAAAATCATTTAATTTTATGTCAAGACACGGAGGCTCATATTGCAAGTTTAAAGCTGATCAATAACAGAAGAAAAAACGTTAGTGGTTGGTCGAAAATAAAATTTGCGAAAAGTTGACTTGCGGGACTAGTCCACCATCCTCATCAGGTCTTCCAGACGCGCCCCTGAAACCACCATAGACGTGGCTGATGCCCCCCGGGAGGAATTTGTGCTAAAGATGGACATATCCACACCAGCCAGCGACATCTCCCATTTCACCCAGCGAACCAAGGTAGTACTGGACACAGGGGAAAAAGGTTGACGAACCAAGAGGAAAAGCTGAGGGGATAAAACCGAAAGATGTGCACTCGTCTGAAGTTCATATTCCAGCAAACAAGCCACTGGACACAATTCTGGAGTAACTGGAAAACTCGGATACAAAATCGACAAAATAGCTGTTTTAATGCATCTGAAGATGTTAAATGTGATCCCGTCTGGAGTGAAAGACAGAGCATCGTAGTCCAGGGCATGAACATCCGAAACCCATATGCATGAAATGAGGCAAAAAAGGGAGACCAATTTAGCCGACAATAATGAGAGGTCCGAGTTAGGAGGTCAGGAAGTAAAGAGCGACAAAACACAGGAGACGTCCCAAGTAGAAGAGTACCGAGGTCTAGGAGGACGTGACAGTCGCGATCTCCGAAGCAAGCGGCACAACTAAGGGCCGAGGAAATGGCCGATCTGTATAAGTCCAGCCAACCAGCCTCGAATAACGATGTGAGGAATTGAAGGATCGCAGTTGGAACGGACAGACGACCCATGAATCTGCTGGCCCTGGTAGAGACCCGCCCTTGAAATACAGTCTTCATGGAGGATTGGGCTTTGTCCAGGGCTGTAAAAACTCCTACAAAGTGCCGCAGGTCCTTTATAATGGAGTCTTTAAACAACCTCGGTGAGGGCGAGGTTGGCCAACTTTGGCTCTATTTTAAAGAGAATAGCTTTACGATGTTCAGTGGACAGGGAGGTGTTAACAGTGCCCACTATGCAGATAGCCCTCTGTACCCAGCCACAGAGGTCAACCTGCCTGTTCTCAGCTCTGGCGACTTCAGCCAGGTCAAATAATTTAGCCAAGGGACCAAATATGTCCAGATGTTTGTCTTGGCATGATTTAAGTGGCGAATGCAGACTCTTGCAAGGATTCCATCCTAATTTGGAGAGGAATTGGGTCATTTTGGGGTCCACTATCAGGGTCTCACATACTTTGCTAGGCACCAAAGGCCGCGGGCATTCCGCCCTGAGCTTGTTTTGTGCCACCTTACTGAGGGGGTGCCGTACCCAATTTTCGAGGTAACGGGCCACATGGTCAGCCAGGAGCCATTCAGCTGACCTCGGATGATGGAGAGCATCAGGGTCGAACATGGGTTCCCCAGATGGATCCATGATGGTGGAGCCCGCAGTAGCGGGGGAGTCACTCCGTGAGCCACTCACAGCCACCCCCAACTGAGCAGGGATAAAAGAATCAGTACTCTGTTCGCAGATTTTATTGTAAATCACTCATGGGCTCAGTGCCAGCCTCCTCACTAGACCCGAGTTCTGAGTCGGAGTCGCTCATATGTTGTGCTCTAGCACATTTCCACTGCCGCGTGGAAAGGCTCTTTTGCGTGACATGGGCACGCTATCATGGATGTTGTGCTGAGCCAGCTCTTTTCCATCCATTGGAAAAGAGCTGACTCAACTTTGGCAAGGTCTAAAGGGAAGGCACCGGTCAATAGCTACAAACACATAGAGGCACAATTCCTGCCTCCTCTACCTGTCCCTTCCTCTTGTAAGGAAGGCTCCTACCCTTAGCCTTCATTAGCTGTGTTGGCTAAATGGTGGGCGGATGTCTCTGTGTCGAAGGAAGAATAGAAAGACATCCCGCAAATGAAATCCCAATATGATAAGTAATCTATGGTAATCTATGGTGGGAGAACCCCTCCACTGTGGTGAAACACAGTGATTCTTCACACAGTATGAGGACAGGCTGTTTGTGGATACGCTGAGATCCATCAGACACCCCAGGTCTTCAGAGTAAAGTTTGCCAGACCATCTTGCCAGTTTAATTCATTTCTGGCTCAGGAAGCCTCTGGAACGTGAGGTATGGATCAGTCTCAAAGTGTAATGCCCCTGATCTTTACTCACCGTTAAATGGCCAACATGCCAAAGTTTGACATGACAGATGTGATTTTCATGTCCTAGATCTGAGGTGACCCCACAAAGGGATTGAAAAGGTTTAACGACAACCCTCGACAAACTTCCAGACTTGCTTAGAGCACTGGCGATAATCTTGCTGATCTGGCGTTCTCACAGAACACTTGACTGGACCCAAATTCTATGAGGAATTGGACTCAAGACTGTATTTGCCTGTTGGTAATATTAATGTGGTCACACTCCTGCCAATCGATGCCAAACTAGCACATTTAGGTTCTAAGGAACTTTTCAGCAATTGTTTCATTGCAGAATTGAAGAAGCATGTGAGTCAAGGTTCAAACCTTGCTCAAACAGGTGTTCGGTCCATCAATTAGCCAGAAGTTGCATTCAAAAAAAATAAATAAATACAGAGAAAACATGATTAACCTCTTAAGGACACATGACATGTGTGACATGCCATGATTCCCTTTTATTCCAGAAGTTTGGTCCTTAAGGGGTTAAGCAAAGAAAACCATTGTAAAGCACATTTCACAACTTCTCACCATTTCTATTAGTACTGAGTCAGGAAATTTTGTGCCACAGTTACAGCTTTATATGGTGTTCCAGGGAGTGCACAAAATGTTTTAGTTCATCAGGTGTTATAATGTGATTTTATTCCTTGGTTGCAGTTCTGACTAACAACAAGTTTCTTTAATTGGCTCAAAGTATTCCTATCCAAATCAGGGCTACTACCTTGACATTCTAGTATTGTAAAATAAATTTCCTGAAACCGATTTTTGCACACAGCAGCAACATGACAAAGAGCTGAATCATATTGAAATATATACACTTCACTATCCTGGAAAAGATCATATGCTAAAGGCAGCAGTTTTGGCTCAAGTATTTCATTGATGTATTTTTGACATTTACTCTACCATCAATCACACAACAATCTGCCTACATCTTTTGTAATAATTCATTGTTTTTCCTTCTAGAATCTTGTATTAATGAAACATGGGGAGAAGAAGGACAATGAAAAAAAGGGAATTTTCACACAAATTTAAAAAAAGAACTTGAGTGGGCAATTGATGTGCCAGCTCCCTCTCCACCCAGAGAAAACCAAAGCTTTACCCAAACATCCAGTCTTTAATGTGTGACCGGCTTTCGGCATGGTAAAAAACAGAACAGTGCTGTATCAGCTTCTCCCAACTCCGTACACCTTTTAAAGCTCCCCTTTATTGCATTTTGGGGGTGGGCTACAGGAAGTGAATGAACAAGACGTGGTAGAAGAAGTTGAAGTGCCAGTGCATGCAGCAGCCCAGGTAGTAGTGCAGATTCTTCTGCTACACGTTTGACTCACCAAATGCAACCAAATAGTCAATAAAAAAAAATCCTCCTGGGTGGTGCATTGGACATAATGCATATGCTAGTTCAAGTATACTGAGGCTGAATAATACTAATACAGTTGCAAGAAAAAGTATGTGAACCCTTTGAAATGATATGGATTTCTGCACAAATTGGTCATAAAATGTGATCTGATCATCATCTAACTCACAATAGACAATCACAGTCTGCTTAAACTAATAACACACAAATAATGAAATGTTAACATGTTTTTATTGAACACACCATGTAAACATTCACAGTGCAGGTGGAAAAAGTATGTGAACCCCTAGACTAATGACATCTCCAAGAGCTAATTGGAGTGAAATGTCAGCCAACTGGAGTTCAATCAATGAGATGAGATTGGAGGTGTTGGTTACAGCTGCCCTGCCCTATAAAAAATACACACCAGTTCTGGGTTTGCTTTTCACAAGAAGCATTGCCTGATGTGAATGATGCCTCGCACAAAAGAGCTCTCAGAAGACCTACAATTAAGAATTGTTGACTTGCATAAAGCTGGAAAGGGTTATAAAAGTATCTCCAAAAGCCTTGCTGTTCATCAGTCCACGGTAAGACAAATTGTCTATAAATGGAGAAAGTTCAGCACTGCTGCTACTCTCCCTAGGAGTGGCCGTCCTGTAAAGATGACTGCAAGAGCACAGCACAGACTGCTCAATGAGGTGAAGAAGAATCCTAGAGTGTCAGCTAAAGACTTACAAAAGTCACTGGCAAATGCTAACATCCCTGTTAGCAAATCTACAATACGTAAAACACTAAACAAGAATGGATTTCATGGGAGGATACCACAGAGGAAGCCACTGCTGTCCAAACAAAACATTGCTGCACGTTTACAGTTTGCACAAGAGCACCTGGATGATCCACAGCAGTACTGGCAAAATATTCTGTGGACAGATGAAACCAAAGTTGAGTTTTTGGAAGAAACACACAACACTATGTGTGGCAAAAAAAAGGCACAGCACACCAACATCAAAACCTCATCCCAGCTGTGAAGTATGGTGATGGGGGCATCGTGGTTTGGGGCTGCTGTGCTGCGTCAGGGCCTGGACGGATTGCTACCATCGAAGGAAAAATGTATTTCCAAGTTTATCAAGACATTTTGCAGGAGAACCTAAGGCCATCTATCTACCAGCTGAAGCTCAACAGAAGATGGGTGTTGCAATAGGACAATGACCCAAAGTATAGAAGTAAATCAACAACATAATGGCTTAAACAGAAGAAATACGCCTTCTGAAGTGGCCCAGTCAGAGTCCTGACCTCAACCCGATTGAGATGCTGTGGCATGACCTCAAGAAAGCAATTCACACCAGACATCCCAAAAATATTGCTGAACTGAAACAGTTCTGTAAAGAGGAATGGTCAAGAATTACTCCTGACCGTTGTGCACGTCTGATCTGCAACTGCAGGAAATGTTTGGTTGAAGTTATTGCTGCCAAAGGAGGTTCAACCAGTTATTAAATCCAAAGGTTCACATACTTTTTCCACCTGCACTGTGAATGTTTACATGGTGTGTTCAATAAAAACATGGCAACATTTCATTCTTTGTGTGTTATTAGTTTAAGCAGACTGTGATTGTCTATTGTTGTGACTTAGATGATGATCAGATCACATTTTATGACCAATTTGTGCAGAAATCCATATCATTCCAAAGGGTTCACATACTTTTTCTTATAACTGTAGTGATGGTGTTGGTGGCAGAGATGGCAATTCTCATGGCCAAGGAATAGGTGTTAAAATTCTGTGAAGCACTGGTAATACTGTTAATATTGTTGGTGGATTATGGAACATCATGCTCTACCACAGCAACTATCTGATACTTCAAGTGCTCGTGCTCACAAGATATCTACCATATAATCTGCAACTCTGCCGCCAGCAGAGCTGTAGACTGGACAACTGGACCGTAAAGGAATTGATTACTGGCTTTAAAAACCTATATTTTAGTGCTACACACATAGAGGCACACAGGAAACTATATCGTTGGTATATGACACCCCACAAATTGAGCAAAATATACCCAGCATCATCCCCGACATGCTGGAGATGTAAGAAATAAGAGGGGACTATGCTCCACGTGTGGTGGACCTGCGATGGGATACGTCCACAATGGACGGAAGTCCAATCACTACTAGAGCTATTAGGAATACAAAGGCTTCCAATGACTGTCTCTACCTGTCTTTTACTGCTGTTTGACAGAGACACCCACCATCCATACCACCCACTAATAGCCCTCACCATGCTAGCTGCCCGCAATTTTATGTGTACAAATGCATGTCACAAGATTCAAGAAATTCCATATAACGTGGACTCCTCTGCAATCTTTGCTGAGTTCTAAGGATGACGGCATTATTATCCCTAGTTAACAGTTGCACCTGGTGTGCCAGCTCCCTTAGACCCCTCAGATCAGTATTAGATCACTATTAGATCATTATTACTCACTACCAAACGAGACCCTCCCTGGGTGGCCCTACCTCGGAACTATATGACCAAATGACACAATGGTTAAATATTAATTGTGTTGACCTTGTTACTTGTTACTTGTTCTAATCCTAAGGTAATACTCACTTATCACTGTATCCAATTGTATGATTTCCGGATAACAATCTCAGATGTATATGTAACCACATTGATTACCATCATATTCCTCTTAACATGTATAACCGTGAATCATAATGTATATGTAACCAAAACATGACTCTGCATTGGATATGACTGTAAAACTTTCAATAAAACATAAATTTAAAAAAAAACAACTATATTTTAGTGTGGGAATACACATTAAAAGGCAGCCTCATCACTCTCACACAGTCACTCCACACACACTGTCATCCTGTCAGGATTTCAAATTGATCCAGCACGCAGAACTGTGTCACACCTATGTCTAAGGATAACGTATAACCGGACCTTAGAGTGGCCGGACTTCCCATCTCCAAGAATAGTCAAAATACTTGACGAGGTCAAGAACATAAAATCAGACACAACGATGAGGGAAAGCCAAAAGTCAAGAATACCAGAATTCAGGGAAGTCAACACGAAGCCAAAGTTAAATACCAGAAAATCAAGATCAGGAAAGCACTCTTGGCTTACCATCAGGATGAAACCATGACAGGGCAATTAGCAAGAAGGGAATTGGGTTTAAATACCCCTCCTGTGGATCAGATTGGCCATAACCAGCCTTTGACCCCAAAAGCAATTACCAGGTTTCCATGTGCATGATTGCTGCTTGGCACAACTTTTCCTGCCAGGACGGTAATGTTGCTCGGCACGACTTTTCCTGTCAGGACGGTAAATGCCATTAACCACATTTTTATGTGCGGATGAATACGTGACATTACCTATCACCTGAAGACCGCCCACCGGGTGGGCAGGACCAGGTTTGAGAGGAAACTTTGCGTGAAAAGAACAAATTTTCACGGCCAGCATGGATATCAGAAGCCGAAACCCAAGAACGGAGGGATAGCTGTATCAGAAAATACAGCAGAGGGAACAGCAGGATGACGACCCATATTGGCAAAAAATTGACTATGCCCAGATGAGTCATGGGTAGCGTTATTCCTTGCAAATTCAGCCCAGGGCAATAATTCAGCCCAGTTAGACTGTGTACTCTTCATGAAGCAATGTAAATACAGCTCAAGGGATTGGTTTGCTCTTTCAGCTGTACCATTATTTTGAGGATGCCCTCCAGAACCGTGACACAAATTGGGAACCCCTGTCAGACACAAAAATGGTTGTGTAAAAATGGTCAACTACCATGAGGATGGTTGTATACCCATTGGAACTAAGCAGTTCAACAACGAAATCCATCAATAAATGAGACTATGGGATACTGGGTATAGGAAGTGGCTGTAACAATCCACACGGAAGTTTATGAGGAACCTTTAAAACTGCACAGACAGAGCAGGTTTCTACATAATCTTTAATATCCCTCCTGAGTGACTCCCACTAAAATTACCTGGATTTTTATTATTTAAAATAATTAAATTTTATTAATACCCGGATGCCCAGCGGTCACATTGTCATGGAATACCTTCAGCACCTCTTTCCTGTCAGGCAATGGAATAAACAATTTATCTTGAGGTTTGTTGCAAGGTGCCTGGGGCTGAGCCACCATGATAGCACGGAGCAAAAGGGATCACTGTATATAATTTTGAATTAGTTATAGTTAAAAGTAAATATGTAAAAGTACTTGTGTTGTTTAACCCCATAAGGACACATGACATGTGTGACATGTCATGATTCCCTTTTATTCCAGAAGTTTGGTCCTTAAAGGGTTAAAGGTATTAAGCTTCACATTTGATTTCCTTAAAAATCTTAAGGATTGATATTCACAATAATGCATTGTTGTGTTCCAAATGAAGACAGATCATTTACATGAAAAGGTTTGTAATGTCGGCAACTTTTGATTTTCTATAACTTAAAAAGGTAAAGTTTTGTTTGAAGTTTTGTACTCATCTATGAAATACATGTAAATAGAGATCATGACTAGTGATGTACCGAACGGTTCGCAGGCGAACGGTTCCTGGCGAACATAGCATGTTCGCATTCGCCACGGCGGGCGAACATATGCGCGGTTCGACCCGCCCCCTATTCATCATCATTGAGTAAACTTTGACCCTGTACCTCACAGTCAGCAGACACATTCCAGCCAATTAGCAGCACACCCTCCCTAGCAGACCCTCCCACCTACTGGACAGCATCCATTTTAGATTAATTCTCAAGCTGCATGCTTAGTGAGAGGAGGGAAAGTGTAGCTGCTATTGATTTGATAGGGAAATGTATAGCTAGGTTAGGATAAGGGTATGCTTTTTTTGATTTTTTTTTTCTATGTAATGTAAATGCACTTAGTTGTCTGCCACTGCTGCCAGCTTCTGTGTCAGGCTCACAGTGCATACTGTGCCCATTTCCCCAGTCAGTGCCACCACTTACATCTGGTGTCACAATAGCTTGGATTTAAAAACAAAAAACTTTTTTCACTGTTATAGATTGAATAGCAGTCGGTTGTCTGCCACTGCTGCCAGCTTCTGTGTCAGGCTCACAGTGCATACTGTGCCCATTTCCCCAGTCAGTGCCACCAATTACATCTGGTGTCACAATAGCTTGGATTTAAAAACAAAAAACTTTTTTCACTGTTATAGATTGAATAGCAGTCAGTTGTCTGCCACTGCTGCCAGCTTCTGTGTCAGGCTCACAGTGCATACTGTGCCATTTCCCCAGTCAGTGCCACCAATTACATCTGGTGTCACAATAGCTTGGATTTAAAAACAAAAAACTTTTTTCACTGTTATAGATTGAATAGCAGTCAGTGTCCTTAAAGCGCGTGTGTCTTACGCTAACAGTGGATACGGTGGCCAGTGCCACCACTCACTGGTGTCATAATAACTTGGATTTAAAAACAAAAAACTTTTTTCACTGTTATAGATTGAATAGCAGTTAGTGTCCTTAAAGCGGGTGTGTTACGCTAACAGTGGATACGGTGACCAGTGCCACCACTTAGATCTGGTGTCACAATAGCTTGGATTAAAAACAAAAAACTTTTTTCACTGTTATAGATTGAATAGCAGTCAGTGCCCTTAAAGCGGGTGTGTTACGCTAACAGTGGATACGGTGCCCAGTGCCACCACTCACTGGTGTCACAATAGCTTGCATTTAAAAACAAAAAACTTTTTTCACTGTTATAGATTGAATAGCAGTTAGTTGTCTGCCAGCAGGTGTGTCAGGCTCACAGTGGATACTGTGCCCAGTGCCACCACTCACTCACTGGTACCCGGACGAAATTTATTTTTACAAAAGGCAATCCCCAACCTGTACTCGATTGTGCAAAAGGAAATAATGGCATGTCTGGCACACAGTGTTGGGGCAAGGGTCCATCTGACCACTGATACCTGGTCTGTAAAGCATGGTCAGGGCAGGTATATCAACTACACTGCGCATTGGGCAAACCTGCTGACGGCTGCCAAGCATGGAATGCGTGGCTCTGCAGAAGAGTTGGTGACACCGCCATGACTTGCAGGCAGGCCTGCTGCCACCTCCTCTACTCCTCCTACTCCATCCTCTTCCATAACCTCCTCGGCTGAGTCCTCTTCTGCTGCTGCGTCTTGTTCCACATCAACGGATAGGGGACGTAACAGTGATTAAACTGATAAAAAAAGTACTAAACACACCACTCCTATCTGGTGGCACATTAGATTGCACGCGCAGTGCCCCAAATTTGTTGTGATCTGTGAGTAAGGTAAACGGTTGTCCATACAAGTAAGTTGCAGCTTTTTGATGGCCCACACCACCGCCATGCACTCCTTTTCAATGGCAGTGAATCTACTTCGCTGTGCAAAAGTTTACGGCTTAGATAAGCCCGGGTTGCTCCCACCATCTTCTCCGACTTGGCTCAGTACTGCTCCAAATCCAAACATAGAAGCGTCTGTATGGACGAGAAAGTGTTTAGTTGGATCAGGAGCAGAAAGTACAGGTGATTTAATGAGCGCCGTCTTGAGCTGTTGGAAGGCCTGTTCACACTCTGGGGCCCATACTACTATCTTGGGGAGGTTTTTACAGGTTCCTATATGGCACTTACTGGGCTTTAGGGTCAGTCCGGACTCCCTAATCCGGTCTATTACGGCTCCTATGT